CTTTGCAGAGGAGCTCTATAATGGCAAACACAGCTTAGAAGAATGTCATGCCCTATCTTATGCCTGGACCCAATGTCTTAGGAGGAATCAAGCTTCTCTGGTGGGAATGGATTTGGCTCACTTCAGTGACACTTATGTTGGATGTGCCATTGCATGATGCGTTTCAGATGTGGTGCTGGAGAAGAAGACTGAATATCCCATGGACAGCCAAGGAATGAACAAGTATATCTTGGAAAAGGTGCAGCTGGAGTGCTCCCTGGAGGCAAGGATGGCAAAGCTTCATCTCTCTAGGAAAGGCTATTCTTTGGAAAAGGATATCTGCTTAGAAGGGTTGAGGGTCAGCGAAAGAGAGGAAGACCCTGATATGAGATGTCCTGATAGACACAGTGACGGCAGCAGTGGGCTCAAGTGGTCAGAGATGGGGAGGATGGCACAGGACAGGGTTCAGATCTCTTGTTCATAGGGTCACTATGAGTCTTACTTGACTCAACAGCACCTAACATCATCAACAACCAGCTGCCACAGAGCTGACGCTCATTCATAGTGACCCCACGTGCGTCAGAGCAGATCTGTGCTCACGGTGTTTTTAGTGGCTGAGAACATCAGGATGTTCTTCCAGAGAGCCTCAAGGCAGACTGGAAGTTCAGTTAGCAGGCGATTTCACAATCCGTTTATACCTCCCAGATATGTCTCTTGAGTATTAGGCAACATGACTGAGTTGTGTCTCTCTCGATCTGGTAGCATTTTGTTTTTGTTTTGTTATGGTGTCTCAATGACTGCTGTTACAACACTGAAAAAGAGATATGAATGTGGCCTTTCCCTGCTAGCAAGATCTTGAAATGGGTTCAGGCTGCCGCCAGTGCAGCAGGTTCCTAACACAGAAATGCAGAAGAGACTGCATTCTGCCCATCAGTCTTCGGCACGGCAGCTACGGGGATGACGCTGGCAGTGGGACTTAGGGATCTGAAGGAAGCTTTGATGTACAGATTGGACTTCTACAACCAGCATGGGCTGCGCCTCATACACCCACTACACACACACTCCTTTTATATAGTTCTCTCCCTCGTCTGTTTCGATGCCGTGTACATTATTTATACCCTCTTCTCTTAGTTTCCCCCAAGTCCCCATATCACTCCTGTTCTATAACAGTGGCACTGTACAGTATTTGTGCTTTTGTGACTGAGATATTTCACTCAGCATAATGTCCTCTAGGGTCACCCATTTTGTATAATATTTCATAAGTTCTTTGTTTTTCACTGCTGCATAATATTGCATTGTGTGAATATACTACAGCATCTCTATCCATTTGTTTGTTGATGGGCATTTGGGCTGTTTCCAACTTTGCTATTGTAAATAAACCAGCAATAAACATGGGTGTGCATATATATCTGCTTGGGTGGCAGTTCTGGTTTCTTTAGGGTATATTCCCAGTAGTGGAATTTTTGGGTCAAATTGTATTTCTATTTCCAACTTTTTGAGAAAGCGCCATATAGCTTTCCACAGTGGTTACACCATTCTACACTCCTACAGTGAATAGGGGTTCCAGTTTCTCCACAACCGTGCCAACATTTGTTGCTTGCTGCTCTGTTAAATTCTGCTATTCTTACTGGGATGAGATGATATCTCATAGTTGTTTTGTTTAATGACAGTTTTTAAAGTCAAACTTATTCTTGTTGTTGTTATGTGCCGTCGAGTCATTTGCGACTCATAGCGACCCTATGTACAACAGCCCTAAACCCTGCTCTATCC